TTAATCTTGTTAAATAAGATTAATCCCAAAAAGTTAGAATAGCTTCTAAAAAAATATAAAAACTCAGGAGATAAAATTAAAGAGAAAGATATTTAAGAATAACTAGATAAGATAAATGAATGGTATAGTGAGTTTAAGGGCAGTTGCCTGATTTCTGAAGTAAGTTTGAAAAAAGAATTGAAAGCAGATCCATAAAAAATTCTGAAATAGTCTCTTGATCTAATATAAAGAAGGAATGACATGAGACTTGAGGTAACTAGCAATGAGTCCAAGTAGCTTGAGAGAGCTAGAAAATGGGCATAGCTAGTTGTTGACAGTAAAATCATTATGTCTGATAAAAATCAAAATTAAGTTGATTAAGATCGAATCTATGATATCTAAAAAGAACTTGAAAGAATAAAGTCATTAGATGATATTGTTTCAATAAAAAATCTAAGGAAAGAATTTGAAAAAATTGATATTTTTCATGAGTCTCTAGACAAATGCAGTAACTATGACGAAACAAGTTAAAAACTATTATCGGTTGATGTTGAAATGATCAAAACTCTGATTGAAAAAGCTTAATAGGATATTCTTATTAATATATAAGACGAAATAAATGGTATCAAAGATTAAATAAATTTAAATTCAGAATGGGAAGCTAATTGTTAAAAGATTCTAGAGGATGTCAATTTCGATGATTGGAGTAAAATTGATCTTTCTAGAAAAATGTTAGATTAAGCTGAAAATGATCCAGATAGCACTTTTACTCTCATTGATAGATCATTGATTCGCAAATTGAGAATTTGGTACATTAAGGCTAAGTATAATGATTAAAAGAGGAATAAGAGAGATATTATAGACTTTATCCTCGCACTTGAACGAGAAATCAACAAACTAAGTGATAATTAAACTGAAATTTAAATATAGCTGGAACTAAAGATGATTGAATTAGCTAAGAGACTTAAGTAAATTATAGCTTTTAAAATATAAGTTGGAAATAATGACGAAAATAAGCCAAATTAGCCAAGAACTTTAACAATACAAGATATTGAATATGCTCTTGAAAACAAAGATAATTTACCATTTTAACTTGAGAAGAAGTAAATTGAAAATCTAAACAAACAAAAAGATCGCTATTACCAAGAGTTGGATATTGAAGCTTTAGCCTTGTATGAAAGACTACCTCAAATTTAAGAATATGAACCAATTTTGATTAGACTTAAAGAGCTATCATTTGTAACACCTCATGAAAAATTTATTGAAAAAATGAAGAAGAATTATGCCTTTATAATGGAACGAGTAGCGAAATACCCAGATTTAGAAATTTTGAAAAAGAAAGCTGAGGATTAAAAACAAATCTCAGAAGATCAAGATATGAAGGATGAATCAAATAATTAAGAGGAAGCTGATTTAAATGAGCAAAATATAACAGAAAAGAAAAAAGTAAATAGTTAAGAAGGTTCCGAATCAATCGAGGTAGAGGAGGAGGAGATTCCTCCTAGATTTCTATAAGACTTCTAAAAAGTTCATAAGAAATTTTTCAAGCTGAAATGTCAGTGTCCAGAGGCTATTAGATTAGTTTAAGAATATGAAAAAGCTAGAGGAGAGTTTGATGATATAAAAAGCAAATTTTTAGCGTAAAAAATTAGTGGTAAATTCACTTTCCAATAGCTTTAGGATTTCAATGAGAGACTCATTAACGTAACATTGGATTTTGAGGATGAAGAGTTATAATTTAGATAAGATATCTGGCATGCTCGAGTTGCTAAAGTTTTACATGACTTGCAAAATGATATATTCATTGAGAGATTAAGTACTGAATAGATTAAGTATTGGCTTGAGGAAGGATAGGAACTTGAAGTTGTAAATGATATTAAGTATGAAAAATTGAATGAAGTTGTAGAGGATATTGATCACATCATGAGAGCATTAAAAATGTGTGCAACTGTTGAGGAAGTTGACAAGATAGATGAATAAGAGAATAGAAAGTTGATAGAAATGAATCATTTAATAAAGAAAGCGAGATAGAAAATGCTCAAAGGTGAAGTTCCAAAGCATATAAGAAAGAGTATTGAAAATAGGAAAAGTTTAGGCTCATGTGCTCTTGAGTATCTTAAAAATAGTAGAACTAAAATTTCAAAGGAGTAATTAGAAGATGTTGATATGGATAATAAAATGATTTAAGAGGAAGGAGGAGGCGATGAAGAAGAAGATGAAGATGATATGGACACCGAGGAACTTGAGGATGAAAAGAAGGAAGCCAAATCTGATCCTAACAAAATTAAAAAAGCTCCGAAGAAAAAATAATCTATTCCAATAAAGACTGAAGTTAAAGCAGATAAATTTTAAAAAGCTACATCCACCCTTTTGACAAAAAAGAAGCCAGTTGCAACCACAAAAGAAAATAAAGAGCCAAAGAAAAGAGTAGTCAAAGCTAATTAAAAAGCTGAGAAAAAAGAAAAACTTAAAATTGAAAAGAAAGTTAAAGCTTCAGGTGAAAAATTGAAATCACCTTTGAAAAAGAAATTGGAAGTAAACAAAAAGGCTAAAAATAAAGTTGAACTTGATAAAAAAGACAATGGTGATAATGACGATAGCAAAGAGGAATCTTAAATTGAAAATGCAAAAATGAAAGAATTGAAAGCTAAAGTAAGTAAGATGTAGAAAAAAGATGTTCCAAGTAAACCGACTAACAGTCTATAGCCTCTTCAAAAGTAAGTTAGTATAAATAATTTTGTTTTAGGAAAATCAAAGAAAAATCTTAATCAAATTCTGTTGAAACTACAGCTCCACAAGCAGGATTAAACAGTTTAAAATCGAAATTAGGAGGTTTGAAAAGTCCAAGCAAAGGAAATAGTCTTTTAACAAAAAAGAAAATTGAGAAACCTATTCCAAAAGTAGAAATAAATAATGCAGAAGACGAGCCCGATCAGAAGATGGATATAGACTCTAAAGAAAAAGAAGAAGAAAATGACTAGCCTAATAATGAGGATGATAAGCCAAAGGAGAAAAAATAAATGATAGTTGATAAAACTTAAGATGAATAAGATGATACTGCAGATGGCTCAGAAGATAATAAATCATCTAAAGAAGAAGCAAATAAAAAAATTGAAAATAAAAAGAGTTTACCACTAATTAAAACAAACACTCTGTTAGGTAAAAGACCTATTCAAAAGACAGATATACTTGCAAATGATAAAAAGGATGAAGTTTAAAAGGATAAACCAGCAATTGGAAAAGCTAAAATAGAACCAGCTGTTGAATCTAAGGCAGCTGCACCAACCATAGCAAAAAAGGTAGGTATTATAAAAAAGCCAGGTGGCGGGCTAGCAGCATCATTAGCTAAAATTAACAAATGAAATTGAAGATAAAATCTCTAGCATAGATATAAATATAAGACTAGGGAGAGATAATGAATATTTATCGTAAAATAATTAATTTCATGAATATTTGCATGTATAAAAATCTTAAAAAAACTCTGATTATCATACACTTACTATTAAGTCGTACTTAAAATTGAAAATTTATTCAGTTGTTTTAATTATTTCTAGCATGAATGTATACTTCACTCCCCATCAAGTCATTTTAGAATAGCTGCTATTCTTGAATAGTTTTAGATGATGCGTGTCTGTTTATTTACTGCTTCATTACAGAAATCTTGGACTAATCCTAGGATTTAATTATTTGATTTATCTTGCTAACTTATTTGCTCAATGCTGATTGGTTTATTTCTATAAATCTGCAAAACTAGCTCATTGATAATCTTATCAGCTGATTTAAGCGAATAAAATAATCCTAGTCTCGGTGTAATTTTTCACTATAGCAGTAATATATTACAGCTTGCAGCTCAGATTTATGTAAAATCTTTATATTGTATTCATTAATGAGTTGTAATGAGGTCTACTCTAAAAATCTTTTTAACTTTTGAGTATCTTCAATAATACTACTAAGTTTTTATTTTGAAGTTTTAATTAAATCTGCTGAATATGCTATTGAGTTTTTAAAAACTATTTAATGACAATTATCATTGCTTGGGTTGTTTAAAATCTCTTTGATTTCAAATGAGATTGTAGAATCAATAGTAGGAGGTGAAACTCCGCCTTTAAATTCGTTTAAGCTATCAAGAGGCTTGTATTCAATGTAAAAATTCTCTATTTCTTGAATTGTGTTTAAATCTACATCATATGCCTCACTTTGTATAGTTTGCATAAATGTTGTAGCCTTATGAAGTATAGAAGAGAACAATTTATTAATTACCAATTTTGCTTGCTCTGACCAATCAATTTATAACTATTTTTTCTGTAAATTAATCATTTTCTTTGGCTAAGTTTTAGATTGTATAAAATTACCATTTCTTGATGATGATACTAAAATGTTTGATGCCCTATTTTTATGGTTAAAACCTGTATTATTTACTAAACTCCTAGATTATTCATAGTCTTACCATTTGTCAATAACTTTCAATAAGCATTTTGGTTTAAGTTGGCCTGGTATTGGGCCTTCTAATACTTTGATCAAATCCTTCATATCAAATGTATTTGCAATAATGCCCTCTTTTCTGAGAGAGTAAGCCATTGCACCCACGACTTTATTGTAATTATCACACTTTTGATTTAATTTTCTTTGATTTTCAACGTATTTCTAGGATATCTCAAACACCTTACTTCTGTCATCTTTAGAGATAAACTCAAGTTTGCTTACTAACTCTTCTAGCTTTTAATTCTTATTATACTCTGATTAATGTTCCTTAGAAAATTTTATTCTCAACATTTATTAGTTCATCCCTTAGCCAAAGCCCTTTCCGATGGTTCTATCTGGAATAAATTTTCTTTCTGGTATGTCATCTTTTAAAACAAGAGATGTGCCTTAATCTAAATGCCCACAATGTGTGCAACATTTTTAGCCAGAGTCCAAGTTTTCATAAGAATTCATAATGTGACAATTTGAACAAGCATTAGCTTTGATACTTAGAAGATTAGGGTGATTATGAACCTTCAGCAGCTAACTCATAAAATTCATTTTATCAATTAATTATTTATCTTTATCATTTTACCTCTTAAACCTACTATGATTTCTAATTTATCCCCATGGGGTTTTGGGGTTTTGGGGTTTTGGGGTTTTGGGG